ACTAACAGAGCGATGAACACACTGCGAGCACATGGGACGACAACACACGTACTAACCAAAAATACCGCTGGACAGTGTCAGCCCCAGGGCTCTCATGACCATATGACTGCTGCAAACGCTACAGAATGCACCAAATGCTAAACAAACGCTAACAGATGGCCAAGGCACAATCAAACGCCTACAAAAAAATGCTACTGACCAGACTAGCTCCTAGTCATAAACTATGTAAAATTTCATTGAACTATATCAGACGCTACAGAACGCACCAAACGCTAACCAAACGCTCACAGACGGCCAAGACACTAACAACCGCCTATAAAAATGTTACTGACCAGACTAGCTCCTAGTTGTTAACTATGTTAAATTTCATTTAACTATATAAAACAACTTTTAAAACGAAAATTTGGCATTCATTTTCCTCCTACTTCTCACAGAAAACGCTTATGTTGTCTGACTCTCGCAGGGTTCCAATAATTTGCATTCTATTTTTAGACTTTGTGCACTTCGTTATTCTAAAACAATAAATTAGCTGACACTTTCATAGTTTTTAACAGCGATAAAGATGATTGCTTCAAATACCTTCTACTTGTAAGGTTGATGAAAGCATTGCTATGAATCAATTATTTACTGTCAAATATCTACTGTCATATTTTTTTCTGCTCAATACCTTAAGAGGTACCGCAAAAACTCCTGCATGCTGTGGTACTTTTGAGGCTCAACAACCTAAGAGGTACCAAAAATGGATTTTTTTAACCCCTAAAAGCTACAACGAACACCCCGATCCTTTTCATATGAGAGTGCCAACACCACTCCCAGACTTCCCGTCAAGTTCAAGTAATAGTGTCAAAAGCTGAGAATCCTAGCTTCTCCTGTAGTTAAGCGTAAAAACACGCAGCACTGCCTTTCAAACTAAATATCATTCCTAACTGGCACAACAGTGAAATTGCAATATAGCATTCATTCACTGAAAATGCGTTCAGGCACAGCAAGAGGTGCTGTAGGCTGCAGCTTCCGGGCAGCTTCCCACTTTCATCCAAACGCTGTCACTCGCAAATTCAGACAAACACTGAAAATGAGATACTCACCGCCTCTTTCAGCATTCAGTGCAGACTGAACCGAGTCTACACAAACCTCCATCTTAAATATTTCGCTGAAAAGTGGAAACAAGTCTTTACATTACGTAAGGGCGTCTAAACGAAACCGAACACCAAGCTAAGAAGCTCACAAGTTGACAACGTGCAGACATTCGAAGGACTCGGGAACAGGGGAGAGAGGACTGATGACTAGCCAGCGGCATCGTGTATCGCGGACTCTCAAGGTTCAAGATGGCGGCCGTGTGTGGTCGATGTGCGAGGAAACTTCAACATCTTCGTACACCTTGGCATCGATCACTAAGGTAAGATATTCAGCTCACCCCGTAGTAGTTATCACGAAGCTTTAAACTTAAGAACAGTTGCGATCGTAGTCAAATCATACATGTAGGAGTTGACCTCTTTCTATTTTCGCTTGACCAACATGTACATGTACATGGATTCTTGGATTAAGCTTTCAATAAGTCATTGAACTGAGTGTCACATAAAGCGTGGGTATGTTTTGGGTGGTATTTGCCGCCCAGGCCTCAAAATTTAACCCTGTTTTAGGGCGCGTTTCCTTGAGATGATTCGAATCAATGTCAATTAATACGGTAATTGATTTCTTAATTTCTTGCAGCACATAAGTTGTAACAGTTTTGTTTTTTATACCAATTACCCAGTAAGATGTTGGCCAAGCCTAAAAGGAAGAGCTCCTGATTGGTCTAATCAAAAACCAGTGCTTAGGCAACGTTAAAAAAAGCACACAACGTCAACAAGCTTCAATATTGGTCAGCAGATACCTTGTTTTGACAGGTGTTAATTGAGCATAGCATGGATGTCCAATATCAAAGATGCATGCTGTAAACAAAAAATGCATGCCTCGGTCAACCTATTAACTGCATTATAGTATGGCTGCCATGTTGTGTGACTTCATTGTCATTGTGTGTACGCACCCACAAGCAATACTCCTAGCCATGATGATAATAATAGTAGTAGTAATAATAATATTCAACCTTATTTATTGAGGGTAACACAGAACAGTAGATACACTGAAAAACCAGTGGCCGAATATCAATATTTACAAAATAAAAAGATGAACTACTAAAAATTAGTAACATAGAAAGATTATCAAATATGCAAATATGTAAAAAAAACTAAGATGTGAGACGTACTAAAAATATTGAAAAGCAGAGCATTGGGTTAAATCCAAAACCCAGTTTTTTAAAGGAAAGTATGAACCAAAGCTGGAATTTCCAGAGGCCGGGCGATTTCAAACCAGTAAAGCTTCCATGGGAGGGGTACAGATATTTTCAGGAAATTATGTTGGTAACACCTTCCAGATCAGGAGTCCTTAAAACCTGTTGGTATTTCGAGGGAGTGCCAACACCCCCTCGCCCAGGGTTACTACTTAATTGATTCTAACCCTGTACATGTACACTGTGATGTTCCCAAATAAAGGCCATTTAGACCATTGATAGTTTCTGCCAAAAGTTGAAGAATGCAGTGCAGTATTTATTTGTTTATAGTTATAGAACTTTCTCACATTCCAACACAAAATGGTGCCAAGTTGAGGTTAGAGTGGACAAGAATATAGGAAATGTTTGAAAATTTTCAGCTCAACATTGTTCTGGTACTATATGTTCAAATGCACTGAAGTGTCTAAGCACTTACAAGCCTCAGCCTAGCTCTAGATCCAGCCTATATATGTACATGTGGATCCACATTCTAACTGATCAACAACTAGAGAACTGTTATGGCACCTTTCACAGTAATGGACCCTGCAAGCAACTTTTATTCATGGTTCAGTGGTTTAGGTTAAATGGCCCATAATTTTGTATTTTATTTTACCCTTTCAGAACTCTGTGCACTGCATCTTCTACGTCATCATCTGAGGAAGTTGATGATGAAAGTAAGTCACTCATTTGTGAATTAGAGCATTTGAATTTTGTTTCAAATGTTTATCTGTGTTCTTATTAAGTTTCAGGGAATGTTCAATCATTATTCACTTCTACAACTAAAAGGTAAGTTGTCAGGTGGCAACATGTATATGTAGCATTAGTGATGCAGGGAAATAACCTTTTGAAGTGAACAAAGAATAAGGTTGAGTTTGGGAGAGGACTGACAGGAAATCATAAATCAAAGGATCAAACTCAGCGATTTTGTTTCAAAATTTTGTAGTCTGGTATGTGACTCTTAACGCATCACTTTCTCAGTGCTTCTCTCCTCCCTCAAAGAGTGAATGGGTAGCATTGAATTCTGGGGTGATCTCAAGGACCTTTTTGAGGCTGGGCAATGTGCAAATTGAGAGTCTGTGACCTCAGACAATCTTGCTTGAATGATTTGACCATCTGGGGGAAGTTTTGGCCACCTGTGAGAACTAGTTGCCTTCCTGCTGAAAATGTTCATGAAACCCCTGGTGACCTCACAAAATGCTGGGAGCTAACCTTCTGAAGGACTACTATCCCATCCAAGAGGAGATTGAAGCAGTGCTCTCAGCAGGTTCATAGGACGGAAACCGTAGTTAATAAAGCACTTAGTCAAGCACTTATATGTGCATGTGATATAACCAATGATCCAATGTAAAATCCAATAAGCGATCCAAAAAGTACATGTATATCAGTGTTAGTGAAGTAGTTTCTTTGATATTTAGCCCCTTTTGGTAGATTCTTACCATCTGTCTAGTGAATAAGGTACAGTTCAATGATGTTTCAAGAAAGGAGAAATTATGATTTTTATCACCTCAGGTATGTCACATGCATTTTGTTCTGTTGTTGTAGAGATCCTATGGCTGTATTGAGAGCCTTGGCATCAACAGTGCAGCCTGTGAGTACCTTGTGTTATTTGTTGCTATAATTGAAATAGTGGACTATCCCTGTCCCATTGTATTTATCAGTACAGTCAAAACTCTCTGCACAGACACATCCATAATACAGGCACGTCAACATTATGGACAGTTCTCTTGGCCCCAGAGAAACCAGAATTCATATAATTTGCCAAGTGCGTAGCTTGAGATCATTTAAGTCACAAACAGTCATTCTGATTACGTTCTGAATTTTGCAATTTGATCATTATGTATTAATTATATTATACTGTATATATAATGCAGTTTAATGCAACTTATCTGAGTTATCAACAAGGAGCACTAGTCTTACCTACGTGGTCAGCGGCATTTTGGTTTTCACTAGAGTATCAAAAAGGAATTGGTTTTGCATTACTATGCTACACGATTGGCTTAAATAACATTGATGTGCTTGTGCCACTTGTTCATCCAATCAGAAGTAAATCCAAAACCTATCAAAACTCACTCGCACACATTTTCCACACCCTGAGTCAACTACATACGTTTGCTGTGAGTTTTGATTGGTTCACTGGATTGTCTGCGTCTTTTGTGGTTTCCCAGAGTGATTACTTTGGTTTTGGTTTTGGTTTTGGTTTTGGTTTTGGTTTTACAACACTCAATTGAAAACCGCTCTAAGTAAATAAACTTATCATACATGTAACTATAAAACAATATTAAAACCATTTCCTTTCAAAACAGAATCCTGCCTTGCCAAGTCCTGAATTTTTTGAAGATGCCTTCTTGCTGCCGAAAGCAAAATTCAAACAGGTTTGTTATACGGACTTACTTCAATATTGCATATATACAGTGAACACCTGCGAATAAGCTGCACTTGCAGATAAGCTGCACCCTGAGTTTGGCAACTCAAAGTTTGGAAAAAAGTTTTTAGAAAGAAATCAATAATAATAATAATAAGAAAGATTATTTTCATGAACATTTCTTGATTTACTGAATGTAAAACTAGTAACTGGTGTGGACGTTTTTCTTCTCTGTTGATTAGAGAGATTTAAATTGATTGATGATGGTTTGCTTTAATAAGGTAAGGTACTACTAGGCAAAGTCTGCATATAAGCCAAGGGGCCCATCAGGCTGGCCCTTATCTCCAGTTTCAGTGGTTTCTTTTCGCAGTTACCCATTTCTTCACCTGGGTGGAGAGAGGCATAGTGAGAGTAGAGCATCTTACCCAAGAACATAACACGATGTCCCCAGCCAGGGCTCAAACCCTACTGCTCAATGGGGAGACAAGTGCACTAACCATGAGGCCATCACACCTCCTTGCTTTAATAAACTAGTGTCTGTATAATTATTATAAATATTTTGAAGTATTTATTTATTTGGATGGTAAAGTGCCATGATAATATTTATTTATTGTCTTGCACAGTGCTGTCTTGCATCAGCAATATATGTAATATAAGTAGCCATCATTGAAGTTATCAGCAGTTCAACATACAAACAAAAGCAAGGCAAATGACCCTTTTGCCTCATTTGTCTGCCTTTTTAAACAAAAGAATATTTAACTGCAGACTCAACTGCAATAATGGTTATTATGTACTTGCGTTTGCAAAGAACTTGACTCGTGTTATTAGCAATGAATAAAACAAGAAAGTTGTGCAGTGCAAGGAGACATGCAAGTGTTCTTGTACTTGTGTTAATTTTTGTAACTGCCTATTAGATGCATTCATAACTACAAAAATATTTCATGTAGTACATCTTTCTCCTACATTTTGACTTGTTCACAGGCAGAATGTTTACTGGCCAAGAAATCAGGAGTAGAAGCTGCTAAGTATGTGATTTCAAAGTGTCCAGAGATTTTTCCACTCAGGAAACCAAACCCTGTAAGTTAACTGTCAGTTCATCCTGATTTTCAAGTGATCTTTGTGTAAGTTTGTTTTAATTGTTGACCATTTGAAAGTGTTTTACAACATGCACTTGGATTGTCCCTTTTGATCTAGACATACATGTAATGCATACAGGGGCGGCGTAGCTAGGGGAGGGGGTCCTGGGGTACCCATGAACCCTCTTTTTGTAAGCCTTTTTTAAGCAAACAACCTACAACGGGTGGCGAAAACGACATGACAATCTNGGGGGGGGGGGGGGGGGGGGGGGGGGGGGGGTCCTGGGATGCCTGTGACCCCCCTTTTGTAAGCCTTTTTTAAGCAAACAACCTACAACAAGTGGCAAAAACGACATGACAATCTGGTGAATACCCTCACTTTGACACAGTGTGACCCCCCTCCCTGTACATACATGTACATGTATGTTACTAGTACTCTGTATGGTACACAACAGTTTGTGCTTTGCATACATATTGTGTTGACATGCGTATATGTGATGCATCAATGTCACAGCATGTACACATCTGTGTATGTTTGATCATAAGTTTCATTTGAACATACCACAGATACATGTAGGAAGTAAAGTCAAACTGCTCTTAACAACTTAACATAAATTTAAACCACAAAACATGTTGTGCATCAAGCTGGTGTTTCTCATTTGCCTCATTTTTTTTATATAGATGTGGGAAATAGAGGATGTTGCTACTGACATTGCAGATGTTCAAAGTGAAGAGCAATTGAAAGGTGAGTTAACCAGCTAACACAACAGGAGACTATGAGGCTCTCTTTGAAAATTCTGATGATCACTTTTTCAGAACACAATTCTGGAGAGTTAATTTACTTAAAAAAGTTACTGTAAGGTTTTACTGGTGCAAACAATATTAGGTTACATTAACAAGATTAAATGTTTTTCCTCTAGGTTTTATTAAGACACGAAATGCCAAGAATGCTGTACAGGCCTATGAAAGACTCAAAGAACAAGGTTGGAATTTTCTCTGACAATGATAATATTGTAGCTCTTTCAGTTCAGTTTTAATTTAGTTACTCATCTGAATAACCAGTAGATACAATGTGAGACAAGGACTAATTCTAGAGCAAATTTATACAATGCAAAAGTCCCAACTTTTGGATAGGTTATCTTTATTAGGCTAAAAACTGTTTTAATTATAATTTATCTTAAAATTTGACAAGTCGTTATCAACAGTTATTTATAATAGATGACTTCAGAGTGACTTGATAACAAAACATAAGTACACAGTTACACATCTGGATCATGTGTCACAGTCGATTGCTCAGATTTAATTTTTAGAGCAGTTGCCAGTGTGGGTCGTTAGTAGCGCCAAAACCAAAAGTGAACACTCTTGCCAGTCAAAACAAATGTAAACAACACAGGGAACCACTCTGAACTGGAAGCAAAAATGTTACTAACACTGGACATGATTGGTTGAGAAAGTGACAATATTCTTAAAGCAATCAGAGATTGTTTGGAAGCAAGGCCAAAAAAATTCTTATGATTATTTTAAACATAGAGTTAAAAACTGCTAGTACTTGATGCATCAAGTCGTAAATACCATTTTACAGAAAACACTGCCAATGTCATATTTTTGTGATATTGCAAACAAAAAATGAAGCAAACCTGCAAAAATTAATCTTGAGAAAATTAAATGTAAGTACATGACTAGTTAAGTCAGGCAGAAATTTTGATCCCTAACACCGAGTTTCATCCTCACCCTCATCAGCATCCATTTCTTTTTAACAAATATTAATTAAAAGCACAGAGCTCAAATTGTCCATGTACTATTTCCTGACTCAACAAAAACAAAACAGCAACAGTGTATAAAGTACATGACATATAGGGTTTGTTTTTCAGGAGTGGAAGTCTCACTGGAAACACAAAATGAGTTACTTGATCTTGCTGCTCAACATCTCGGAAATGTATCTGTAGAAGAGGCTTTGGAGCCTGTTGAGGTAGCGGTATTAAGGAGGTTACACAATTTATAGTTTTTGTGCATTATTTAGCTCCCCATGTTACACAGTTCAAATCAATGCTTGCTGTATAATTTCAGCATCACACAAATATTGGTGCATGTATGATGTTTATTTTCCTGTCAAAATGTTACCACTCCCTTGTTTCAAAATTAGTCACCTGCTTTAAGTAACTGAGTTGTACATGTAAGTTGTCCACTTAAGGAGTTCTTCTGTAGAGTGGTGTCCACTCAAAAGACTATGAAAAAAAAAATTTAGGTGTCTTCAAGGCAGTGCCTGCAGCATTCAGGTGTAGAGCTTTAGAGAGGTGTCCATTTAATAACCTGTGGTGACTGCTTTAGAGAGGTGGACAATTAATAACCTGTACTGTTGTCTGATTTAGAGGTTCCCCTTTTAATTAATAGTCTGCTTTAGAAAGGTGTCAACTTATTATTTATAGTCAGGATGTGTCTGCTTTAGGCAGGTAGACTGTGGTGTCTTGATAAGAGAGGTGATCACTCAATAGCCTGAGTTGTCTACTTAAAAAGGATGTCTGCTTTATACCTGAGGTAGACCTCTGTTGAAGAGAAGTATTTACATGTAGTTTATAGCTCTGTCTACTTTCTAGGTGTCTATTAAAACATGGTTTACTTTCCATTGTACTTTGTTTTGCAGACAGGATCAAGTTTCTTAACTATTGAGACAAAAGAAGAAAAAGCAGACACTGATGATGGAGACTCCAATTCAGATTCAGACTCAGTAGATGAAGGGGTAAATAAGTACCTCATCACAAGTATCTCATCACAACAAAAACGCATTGTACAATGGGCACACTTTAGTCTGACATTGATATGATTGTTGAACTTAATAAGTACAATATTTTAATTAATTTGTTTCCAACATAAGAGAATTAACTCATAATTATTGTTTACAATAATTAAAAATTCTTCTAAGGTCTTATATATACTTAGATATTTACATACCGAAATACTGATTTTTATCAGATTGTAGAATTAATAGATTAAGCATCAGTGTTTTTATTATTTTCTAACTTATAGTTTGATGATGAAGCAAGAAATGAAGACAATGATTATAATCCTGTGAGAAATCAGTGGAAGTGAGTCAATAAAATAACACTTGGAAATTGTTCTAATACTTTGTAAACTACCATTTTGTAGAAACAAGCAGCGATGAGATTTTATGACCTCTATATATGCCCAAAATTAGCCAAGCATTACATGTGTATGAAGGTCCAACCTTACCATACATTGTAAGTTTTTTTCTTTGAAACTGGTTGATATTAGTGAGTTATGATAATTGTATTTGGAGCCATAATTCATTTCTGTCAGTATCGGTGTTCACCACCCTTCTAGCTGTTTCATGTTCACCTTCAACATTACCTGTCAAACTTTTGTTTCTGACCAAATTTCCCCTTCATATAGGACAACAATGTTGAATCCTGTACATGTAGTTTTCCTACACCTATGCTTGCATCAGAGGTGTAGAGCCTGTGACTTGCTCACTGAGACACATTTTCTGAGTCTACTGAGATGGTAGCTGCTCAAAATCAGAAATAAAAGGCGCTGTGTGTTCTATTCCTTGATCAAAGACAGGTGATATCTACTGGTTTACTATGAAATGTCTTTATATAACAGAAAAGGCAACTATGCTGAGCAAATGTTTGAAAGCATGACAACCAAAGATGGCAGCACATATGAGGCCATGGTTCTTGGATTAGTAAAGGTACTGACAATATGTTTTTTAATCAAATAAGAGTGAGGGAAAAAAACATGTTTTTTTTTTTTGTGGTGATACTGATTATAGTGATATATTATTATTATTTTAAGTCTCATTACTCAGCAGAGGTGCAGTGTCCTCATGGTTAGTGCCCTTTCCTCCGGATCGAGCGGTTCAAGTCCTGGCTGGGAACATTGTGTTTTATTCTTGCATGGGCAAGTCCTTTTACTCTCACAGTGCCTCTCTCCACCCGGGTGTATAAATGGGTACTGGCAAATTTAATGCTGGGTAACCCTGCAATGGACTAGCATCCCATCCAGGGAGGAGTGGAAATACTCCTAGCCACTTCACTCTACAGAAACTGGAGATAAGTGTTGGCCTGATGGGTTACTTGGCTTGTATGCAGACTTACTCAACAGAGAGTCAAAGAATGTTAAGTTGCCACCAACAAAAACGCTCCTGCCTGCTTCTCTTGCCTATGCTTTTTATTGTTTAGTATATACTACACAAGTGAATAGTGATTTTGGTGTGCGCTGATTGGCTAGCTGGGAAGTGATAAGCAAGGACTCTTCATCTCCAAGCAGCCAAAGAGACAAAATCACATGTCAAGAGTTTATAATTTCCGACCATTTTTTTGACAGAAATAATGTTTTGGTTCTTGTGTGATGTATACCAAAACTGCATTAATAATTATAGTTATCCACCTCAGTGTTGGTGAAAGAGGTGGATATTTAATTTGCCACTTTGCAGCTCACTTAAATATCTACACCTATTCACCCCAACCTCAGTGAATAATAATAATATTGCTACCAAATAATTTCAAATCATAATTATAGTTACTGTCTGAACTGTACATGTATGTTTAAAACAAGGTGGTCTTGTTTACAGCATAACAGTGGTTCTGAAGCATATGAGTTGTTCAAGGAAATGAGAGCAACTGGACACCAAGGTGCGATTTTTATAAATGTTAACTTATGGGATTTTTCTTGCTTCTTCAGGTAGATCATGTGCAAAGTAATGAACTTATATACCTGTTAACAAGTCTCAATGTGACCAGCCACAGAAAAACCTTGTACTATTTCTGATCAATTTGTTTTTGGTACTTTACAGTGTTGTGTTGTACTAGAAAAATAATGATTAATATTACACTCAGGTAAGGCTTTTTGTGTTGAAAACCCACTCCCATCCATCTAGAAATTTCATTCAAGTTTCATACTTTCCTTGGAAACTTTCACCTTCCAGCTCAGAACTTCCTGTGACCTTCTTTTGCTGGGTATAGATATTTCTTGAGAACATTTTACAAACATATTATTTGTTAAATTATAGTTTCTGTAATGACATACTACTTGATGTTCATGGGGATTGCAAAATGTGATGATGTGGAAAACAAATGGGAAAAAGCACTGGTTTGTAAAATAACATTTACTACACTCATTTCAGTGTTTTTTTACGTAGCAGAATAGGCAGATAATACTTCACTTTTACTTTAGATTTGCCATGGCCCTCTTGGGAAATAGGGTCATAGGTAGATAATAACCATTCAAAAATACCCCTTTTGAGTTTGCATTATTATAGCCATTATTTTGCTATTTTCAGTAATGTATTTATAGTAATTTATTTTCAGTAAATGTATGTTCTTTAACATGGTGGTGACCAGCTTGAAAGTCAATGGCTACTATCCGGTTACTATGCACATATTTTTTTTTTATTTTCTCCATAGCCATATGCAACATTTATTTCTTTTCCCATCTTTATTTTATAATACTGATGTAAATTTTAAAATTCTGTAGGTAAGAAGTGCACAATAATTTAAAAAAAAATTGATTAATTGACTGATTGTCAGGAGTGGATTTTGGGGGGAGGGGCAACGGGGGGGGGGGCATGCCCCTTTTTTCTTGTATTATATTTAAAAAAGTGACCAACTGTCTTTAGAGCGTAATATGCCACAATTATTTCGGCCCAGGGCTCTTTCTAAATTTTGTGGATCCACCCCTGACTTTTATCATCAAGGGTACTCTTTCTTTCATGAGACAATGGTAAGTCAGTCATAGTAAGGGAGTTCACTGTGGCAGTGAGCACAAAAGACACTTAAGAGTACAGTAAAGAGAAGCAAAAATTTTATGTGGCATTATTGGTTTGCACTGAAAAGTGCCCCTGATGGCTTCTTAGTGCACAATGCATAGTGGTTGAGAATGACTCTTGAGTATTAAGAATGGTCGCTGCTTCATTGTACATACTAGATAACATTTTCAATGGAGAATAATATTTAATAATGAATAAGATTTAATCATAACTTAGTTTGTTTTTAGTAACCTTTTATCACGAATTTCTTTTTCAACAGAATTTGGTCAAACTCATGGGGGAAGAACCTATTGTCCTTCCTAATCTGAGTGAGTGTCAACTTTTTTTTAAGGAATAAATACTTCATTGACATTTTGCTGATAGCCAAGACATCATCCTTAAAATGACAGAGTGTAGCTTCAGTCGTTAGTAGGCAACGGTTGCAATTAACAAAATCAAATTAATTGTTTTAGTATAAATCTACTAGTCATTCAAAACTTTATTGAAATCCTCTTCACAGGCACTTCAAAAACATCAGGAAGCGGCCGTCATATTGTTAACAAGGGCACACTGCTATGCTACTCACTATCTATCACAGAATAGATAGTGAGTAGCTTAGCCAATCAGGGAACGGCATTCATGATAGAATGTTAGTGGATTTATACTGATGTGGGATAAGCATATCCAACCACCATTTTATGTTAGACATTTTTGTGATCCTGACCTCTTGTTGGATATTACATTAGTTAAGCTTTGTGTTTGATATCAATGAGGATCTCAACATAATTGCAATTTATTTTATTTTTATTATTACTAGAAACATTCAATTCCCTTCTAAGGATAGCGGCAGTGAGCTCTGATGGAGACAAATCTAGTACACAGCTTGCCCTTGGTCTGATAAGAGAGATGCTAGCTATGGGAATAGGTAATTTTGGTTACTTATGTCACTGAATGTCTAGGAAGGTGCTATCTATAATGGGGGAGTTAACTCGGCTATGTCTCTTAGACTATTCTCTTAGAAAGTCGTAGTCAGAGAAAATGTTTTCTATTCCTTTTAGAAAACACCACAAGAAAACGAGAGGAAAATTAACGTTTCTAACATTTAAATCGAAGCACTGGCCTTTTTAGTTCTTGCTTTGGTGTAGGCTGTTTCTAATAATAAATTACTGTAGGAACATAATTTAAACAAGCACAAATTCCATTGTACTAATGTGGAGTGTATAGGTTAAAAAACATTTTATAAAAAAATGAAAGAAACGTTTAAGTCTGTGAAGTGTGTAAACAATGTAAGGGGTAAGGGGTAATCTCAAATAAAAATCTTGATAAAGGTTTATTAAGATAGAACCCAATAATTATTTTCTGGACCTTGCGTGAATGAATTGGTATGTGTAAACTTGGCGAAGAGATAGATATTTCCGTTTTCCAAAACTTTCTAATAGAGCCATCACTGGAGTCCTTTAATCAGGTACTACGAGCGGAATATCTCCCAGTTTGGGAAGAAAGGAGGAGAGCTAAATCACTGCCAGGTGAGTGTTTTTACTAGTAACATAGACTGCCATCCACAGTAGAGAAAAAAGTGTGGTATGGTGATCTGACTGACCGACCCAGCAACCAACCCACCGACACATCGACCCACCGGCTCAATGACCCATCTACTGACTGACCAACTGACCGACTGCAAATGTGTTCCACTTTAGCAGAAACTAGGTGTCAAAAAATATCTACCAGGCTTGGGCAAAGTCCATCAAATTCCATATTTCTAAGTTTATAGTCCGTTCTGAAGGGGTAAAAAAAGGTCTTTTATGTACTCCAGAGTCTGGTCATTCTTAGTTTTAAACATTAATTTCAATTTTTGTTTTTTTTCCTTCTGAAAAAGAGATTATTTCATCCTAGTTTAATGCGGAGGGTGGTGGCGCTAGAATGGTAATCAGACGTAATAATAACCCTCATGGCGCAATTTTGTAGTTTTTGTAACGTTGTTGAGAGCATCCAACACAGAACAGCAGAAATCGAAATATGGTTCAATGATAGCTCTGTATGGATGGCCTCAACCTTTTGAGTGAACCTATACCCGGGAAGAGAGAACCTTAGCAATCTCATAGGCACGTGTGGAACACAGCCAGAAAGAGGGAGGGAGGGAGGGAGGGACAAATGGACAGACAGATGGGCAGACTAATAGTTAGACAGACTGCCTGACCGACAACCGATGGATGGATCAACTGACCATGCAACTGAATGACAGAGAGACAGACAGCAAGTCAGTCATCTAGTCAGTCAACAACAAACTGGAAATCAGCATTAATCATATGCTTGCTTGTCCTTACAGAACAAAATGCGAAGGCAATTGGCGATCCTTCAGTTCTTGATATGGTCATCACACATCTGGAATCATTTCCCAAGCTGCCACCTATGTCTGACCCACGTGATAGTGAGTGCAATTCATCTTAAGGGTACTCCCCAGATAACAAAGTGCTTGTGTGCCAAGATATTATAGAGTGCTGAATGCGATTTCTGATAACAAGAAGTCTTCTTTTTTTTTTATCTCTATTTCATTTAATCACTTTTTTCTCAGAATATAATAGTGAAGAACTTACGCAAGAATAGAACAACATTACGAAACTAAAAGGATCAAAAATATTATTATTAGAGAATATCATTTATTTCCTGTAAATGGCCTACATGTATAAACAGAAAATCGTGCTGCTATTTTGTTTAGTTATACTTTTGTTTTTAGCAATTTAATGTGTCTTTCCAGTATATTCTTAACAAGTCATGTCGAAAATATTGTATGCTTGCCAAATGAACTAACTTGAATAACTTCCCTTGCTTTTTCAGCCGCCTTCTTTCACTCAGCCATGAGTGCGGTAAGTCTTTGTCTCACAAACTGTCTGTGGGTATATGTACAACTTGAAACTTTATAAACAGAACTATAGTTTCACTGTGAATAATCCGTTTTTTTCGGGCTTAATTATATAAGTGAGAAAATTACTTCATTGTGATTGGTTGTGGGCAGGCCAATTTATCGTTAATTTTTAATTTGTACTGCAGTGCAAATTAACGCGCGCGCATTTGTAAATTTTTCAGTCATATAACAAATGAGTAATCGTATGAAAGCTTGAGCAATAAGGCTCGTGAAATTTTGAGAGAATTTTCAAATATCACTCGTAGTGCAAATCCTTAATTGCATTCGCATTCATACGATTACATATACTAATTTATGTTACAATGCTAAGGTGTCAAACCAAAAAAAATTCCCTTGTGATGACACAAGTTTACGAAGATTCATGAATAACTGACCGATCGATCGATCGATCGATTGATTGATTGATTGATTTTGATCGATCGATCTTTCTCAATTGGATGGCTTGGATGAGACCAACGGTATTGCATACCATAGTTTGTTAGTCAAACGAAAACCACGTTAACTAAATTGCATTGTTCTCTCTGAAGGCCTTTGTTTGTGTGGACGCAAACGTAGCGATACGCATATACAACTTGTTAAAGAAACAGAACAACGCAGCTTTTCTTGGAAAAAAACATTCTCCTTTTTAGTAAGTATGAAATATGTCATGTCTGAATTTATCTTTGGTAGTTCAAGGACGGGCGCTTATTAGAGAGTGACCACTTACTCCGTTTTGAACACACACCTCAAATGTGATAGTAAAGCAAAACAACAGATACTTTAACTCGAGAACTGTAACACTAGGGGCTTTGATAATCGTCATCTTCAATACTACCTTACATATTTCATTCGTCAAATTAGTCCTCTCGATGTTAATGTCTTTCATGTCACTTTTGCTTTGGGGGCGCTTGTTAGAGGGGTTGTTCATTGGAACACTGTTGCTTATAATAAAAAAAAACTCTCAAAGGGGAACGCTTATTAGAAAGAGGGCGCTTGTTGGAAGGAGGGTGCTAAATCGAATCATTACGATATTTCGTGACTGTTGTTTATTGCAGCTCAGCATTTCTTATGACCCTGGCGGGGGCTGAGTTCCATCTCCCTTTCTTGTTTGACTATTACAAAGAAATTGTGCCGGAGGTATGTTTGATCAATCTGACATTTTTCTAATGTTTCCTGTGTACTTTTAGTTTTAGCAACACACTTGTGTCCTATTTTGTCGAAAAGAAGCTGATTTTAGAGAATATCACATAATTTTACTGAGATAGGATGCCAAGCGTCCGTGTGGAGACTGATTTTTCCTCAAGTTACAAGGTTAAATTTGTGTGTTTATGCTCAAAAGAGTACTACCATCAATATTATGCATGGTTTTGTGAAGCAACCACTCAATACTAAAAGAACCTTGACACAACCTACAACAACGTGACTCGTCTGTTGCTGCCTCTAAGCAGAAAATCATGCTGCTATTTTAAAGAGTAATTCTTTTGTATTCAACAATTTAATGTGTCTTTCCATGCAGTTTATTCCTAACAAGAATCTGTGCCATTTAGAAACTTAGACCCAGAGACCATGTTTACTCTTCATTGTTCAATCTGGCCAGTCGAACCAAAACTCCAGGATTAGTTCCAAAACTCTATGACGGTGAGTTGTTCAATTGACTTCGTCTAAACTTCGTACTGTAATCCTCAGTATCAGAGGCATTATGTTCATGGAAAAATCGTAGAAAATGTAAGCAAGATAGCTGTGTAAATAACTTCAAGAGTTTCTGAAAATGTTGCTGTGAGATAAAATGCTAAACAAGCTCAAGAGGAGTGGCTTGTCTCACGGCCCTCTTTAGCTTAATGGGCTTGTATCTCGAGGGTGATATTATCGCAGAACATTTTGTGTCAAAGGCTATTTCCAGTGGGGAGGACGGCTGTCCAGGGAAAGGGGGGAGTTTCTAGTACCGGTATTTCATGGTATGTCTTTGTTCTTGTCTCCTGACCAGATATGCGCATGAATCAAGTAACATTAACAAGGAATGTAGCCACAGCTCTTTTCAGAGCCCTTAGTGTAACTGAGAAACCTGAGGTAAGTTGGTTCTTGGTGTGACAAACATAAACCCTGATATAGTTTTACGTCGATCCTAAAGGCTCATTTTCAATTTACAACCGTTGCGATCATTTCCTTCTTGTTTGAGGAAACCATCAATATGAAGGCATGATTGACCATCGCAATTATATGATACAATCATACAATCATGTCTTCATATCTTTCTCCGCAGTTCAAATATATGACCTTACTATATTCACTTGTAAAACCATCTTTGTTCAACATGTGCTCCGATCAGTCCAAAAATCATACTCGCCTACTACACTTGTAAAAAAAAAAAGAACCACCGATAGCTTAAGCGACTTAAATATTGGAGAGCACGCTTGCGTAATGGTTTGCGCATTCAACTCATTTTCAAGCGGTCGAGTTCGAGTGCTACCTCGCATCAGCGTGCAGGGTTCTTGTCAAGAAGTTGCACGCTCCAGTGCCTCTCCGCCGAGGAGTATAACTGTTTTCTATAGGGGAATCAGAGATTTAGCTTCTGATCAAGCTACAAAAATTTCAGTTCTGACTATGAAAGGACACAGCACGATTGATTGTCTTAAGGATTTTGAGCCCGATGTATTGAAAACTTTTTGTGCGTTGCGGGTTTTATCATTCAAAATTTTACAAAGAATGTTTGAGCTCGTTAACACCTTTTCCAGCCAGAAATTTTGCAGTCTTTGGAACCAATTTCTCGTTGAATATTACACCCAAAGAGTGTTACTTGTTACCGGAAATTCCTCGAGACAAAAGTGGCTATCGCGTCAGTTCTCCTTGCCCTGCATGGCAAAGCTATATTTTCATGTTGTAAAATCATCAAACTGCCATAAAAATTGACATTTAGTCAAAAAGCTTCTGCAAAGAACCTATTCAGCCTTTTGTTTTAACTGCATTTTCACACCATTTTAGGACCTCAAGGTTCACCTGGATATCATGGTTGACGTCTTGTACTGGATGAAACTCTTCAACTTGCAGTGAGTTAAATCGCCGCGCCATAGCTGTTGCCGTTTCCCTCGTCTACATGTCTCATTGTCATTATATAATCCCGTGCTTTTGCTTGTTCAGTATTGTGGTGTTAAACCTGGAGTTCGTGTCTCAATTTATTGGCGCTGTTATTATTGTTTTTCTAATGGCCTTCGTGGACGTTTTTTTTTTGTTTGTTACGGCGTGGTCGCCAGCTTGAAAGCAGGGATCAAATGTGGCGTGAAAAGTGACAAGTAGAAACCTGACAACTGGCGTTATGGACTGCTTAAGCCTTCTGATTCCTTCAGAAAGCCTTGAAATCTGAATCAGAATCCAAAGCTGACCGGCATACCAAAGTTCATAGCAATAGTTTGCTTTAAATACTATTTCTTTCCTGACACCATGGCATAATGTAAACATCTTCGAGTGGAGAAGGGAGGGTGGTATCTCTTTTGAACTGGGAAATGGTATCGTGCCATAATAATTGTAGTCCTTGCTATCGCTCTGACTTGAAGTCGTTTCAACTTGCTAATGGGGCGCTTGATCTTTTGATTTCTCTTTTAGACCTTCACCTTTTGTGATCACTCGTGCCATTACCATGTACTGTTTAAACGGCAAACTGCTGGAAGCCTGGTAGGTGTGGTGAACTTTTTACAAGGACTATAGAAAATAGTTATTTCTCCGTGTTTTTGTGGAGTTGTAAACACACTTGGGAAAGATGGGGAGAACTTGAAAAAGCTGTGGAAACACTTGTTCCACTCGAGTCTCTAAAACTGGACAGAAACTTCTATTCCTTTAATAATCACCGAGTACCTGAAATAGGCAAGTTTGTCTGGTATACGAATGGTGGCTGTTTCATTGGCCCAGTGGTCATTGATTCAGACAAAGATATTTATCTCACTGTGGTACATTTACAGACCTTTTCTAAGCCTGATGGCTATGGCTCAGGTTTAGAGATATCTATCCCTTGACATAATTATTTTGCTCCTTGAAATGACACTTACCTGCCCCCTGCCCCACATTTTTTTGGCCTTAACAAGACTGCCTGTTTCCTGATTTCTTAAGGGATAAATGTCCGCTGTCAAAGTACGCAAGACTACATTCTCAAACTCATGTTCTAAAACAAAGAAAATCACAACCGTGAAGATGGATATATTTTGACGATTTTACTTCTCCGTTTACTCCTTCGTTTTTGCATAGTTAATAGAGGGGACTGGTTATGAAGCCCGGCAAGCATCAAAGGAGCAAACAAGATGACAAGATTGATGTTGGAGGGTCCATGACCATGCACAGTCTATTGTTTTTCGCTCATACATGAATTACATAACCACAACGTTTCTATTGGTTAGTTCCTCAGTCAGAAGTTAACAGCTATTGTATTTTGTGCACTGCCAAGGCCGAAAAAGTGAACTAAAACATACAACAAAGAACTTTGTCGGGCTTCATAGCCATTCTCTTCTATTCACTACGGTTTTTGCTTTCATTGGGAAGATATATCAAACACTCAAGACAGTGTTTCATCGGCTATCCAAAAACCTCGAGTTTCGTCAAAAATACTCCGCTGCGCGTCGTATTTTCAACTATATTCGCGGTGTTTGGATATCCCGATGAAACAGTCTCTCATGTTTTATATAATACCTCAAGCTGACAACTGAACAGTAAGGAACGCTGCCACCTCCTTCGCAGGGTCCTAGAGGGGATCCTGGAAACGGGGTTGGGAAGGCTTAGACGCCATGACTCGTGACGTCATTCCGGAAGACGATTAGTAGAGAGAATTGATGTTTCAATCTTAGGACTAAGGGTGATTGGATGTTGTTCTTTCAGGAGAATGTTGGATATGTTCGAGAAAAACAGATATGTACCAAGGTAAGCGTGAATTTTTCTTGGCAATATCTTGTATCTTTCATTTGTTTATGGTCGCCTTAGCAGCTCAAAGAAGATTGTGAGAAGATTCAGTGACCTTCCCCACCCTCTCCAGCCATTGTTTCACAGCCTTTCTCTCTCTTCCGGTTTCCTCGATTCACTTGAACGATAAATCTGGAAGGAAACACTACCTCTGATTGGCTGTCCTGTTGGTTTACGCGAGAAGGAGCCCATAAAATGCGTGCTATAATTGGTCGAAACACGGGAAATGTGAACGCGGTTATAGCTTTTCAACTTAGCAGTTTGTATGTACGGTATTTTTCTATGTGAGTGACCCAACGCCAAGACGCTATTATTCACCAAGGTTCTGCATTCCTTCAGAGCGTTCCAAGTTGATTTGACTGAAAATGGAAATAACCATTTCTTTTTTACTTTGTTTCTAGCTATTCTGCTCTCCTTAGCTTAATGACGCTTGCAGCGGAACAATTGGACCAGTTCAAAGTAGTGGTGAGTTTCATTCTGACGCAAAATGTTTTGCGCATTTTGAAGGTCTCCAGTACATGTAACAAAATAAATGTTATGATTCAAATCCAGATCCAAATCAGTTTTGGTTTTGTGTGGATGTGACCACCGTACCGCTCTTTTTTTTTTAAGAAAACAACGTGCTCTTTTAGAACGGTTACTTCAGTTATTGAGCGTCGTAAAACCAAAACCAATGTTAGCACTATAGCCAGTCACAAAGGCCATAGGCAATGCAGTGAACCAATCAAAACTTAAATACATGTAGCTGAAGTGAAGCGCGGGAAAACATGTGAAAAAGTGGCTCGAATTTTTTAGCTAGTCGTGCAGTAATGCAAACCCAATTACTCTTCGACGCTCAAAGGAATACCGCTCTAAAATGAATTTCTTTAAACGTTCATCAGTGTTCGCTTTCTTTAGAGGAGTTCGTTAATAGATTTACATCTTATCGTAGACGTAAAAGTACATTCAAAAGTTCGGCTTGAAGTTGTTTGTCTGTTTCTTTGTTTGTTTGTTTGTTTCAGGTTTGTTTTTATCTCGGTTGATCAGTTCTGTTATTATTAGCACAGTTCTATTGGTTTCTCCACAGAGGTGTTTTGAAATGCTCAGCGAGTTTGGATATAGCTTCAGCGTACACAGGCGAAGACACTTTTACCAGAAAGCCAACATTCCTCGATCAGAAGCGTAGGTGCTATTTTATCATGGTATCAAACTCATAACAACCGAGCGGTCAATACCAACCGAAAGGACCAACTGGATAGGCAGGAAAAAGAACACTACCTAACTGGAATTACATCATTCACAATTGATAAAACTGTCTTGTCTAATGCCTTTAGTTGTTGAGGATAAAATAACAATGTTTTGTGTAAAAAACGTTTGACCTCTTAGAACGGTCAGTTGTCAACGAACTATGCAAACAAGCAAGTGTAAAAGTAGTTTTGCTATTTGATATGCTATTCTTTGCGAAACACATCATTGAAATAACAGAACAAAATATATGTATGTATGCATGTATGTAAATGTATGTATGTATGTATGAATCCTACTCTTGCTTATCAGGAAAGGTTTAGACGAACTTTTCCANGACGGACGGACGGACGGACGGACGGACGGACTGGCAGACTGACTGACTGGCTGGCTGGTTGGCTGGCTGACGGACGGAGGAACGGATGGACTGACTGACGGACTGATGGACTGACGGATTGACGGACTGACTGACTGACTGAAGGACGGACGGACGGACTGTCTGACTGACTGACTGATTGATTGTTTGCTCGCTCAATCAATCGATCGATCGCTCGATTGACTGATTGATTTGCTTGCCGTCAATTTCAAGTCTCTTTGTTTCGTCATCTTTATGCTAGACTCTCGACGCAGGATGTACGATAAAGGTGTGTACCAAGACGTGGTGGAACCCAAGGCGAGGTACGAATTAGCGTTGGATCTCTAGATCGATTTGTATTTTATTTTAGTTCCGTTTATTTGAGATTTAAGGTAATTAAAAACAATCAAAGAAAGGAAATGTTTGTGTGGAAAAGAAAAAGCCCTGCTCTCCAAATACGTTATTATTCCTAACCAACACTTATGAAAGTTGAATGAAAATATAAGGATCGATCGGTCACTTGGCTGTTGTTCTTGTTTTACGGTATTACTATAATGATTGATGATTGATCAGGTGATAAAACTGCCGTCTGCCACACGTTTTCAGTTCATTTCATTTGTCGTTTCCTAATTTTGTCGATATGTAAAGGTGCTCGGCTTACACTAGGCTTTTTTTTCTTGGAACCGGTCTCGCTATTTTGCTGCGACAGACGTTTGATAAATTCACCGGAAGTGAATATATCTGGCAACGCAGAATCAAGTTTTACTTGTTGTGAAATTTGTTCATTTAGAGGCTGTTACACTGGGTAATGTTTTCTGCAACTTGCTTACTGGAGCAGCACCTTCACCCCCGTCTTTTTTTCACATAACCACTGAACATACAGCACGTTATATCTTTGTTTTAATTCTTTTCAATAGTGACTTTCCTTGGGACTCTACGGAAAAGTCATGAAGAGAATCTGAAATGCTTGGAGCCCTAAAGAATCGCAAGAAACAAAGCATGGGAGGCTCAGAATACACGTTAACTTCACTGTTCAAGTAGTTTTGAGGGAAATATTTGCAGAACTTGGTTACAGATGTGCCGTCGCTTCCGCTTTAGAGCGCTTTTCTTATTGCCCTTGTAAAACTTGAACCAAATTTAGTTATTCGTGAAGAATATTTAGTTATTCATTAAGTATATTGCTCACAGCTCAAAGAAATAACGAGATATCAGCAGCCAAAGTCACAGTGCAAGAAAGGAAACATTTGTTTCGTACTGGAGTAGAAAAAGCTGAGAATATGCAAACGTGTACATATGATCTGCTACTTCTCGGGGAGTGTCGAACAAACGTTGTCACTACTTTGCAGTATTCTGCTCATAGAGTTGACTATATGTAATTCGGATGCAAGGTTAACTAATAAAAATGTTTCCCGTTTTGATTTGTATCTTCTTGATTGATTAGACCACGTTGTACAATAGACCAATTTCGATATATTAAAATTCAGCCTGAAACAATAGACGTCAGGACGAGGCTCTGAGGAATAAATACAGAGTTTGTGGGCTTTATTCCCCAGAGCCTCGTGCTGAGGTATATTGTTTCAGGCTGAATTTTAATATATCGAAATTGGTCCATTGTACGAACATCACGGGAAAATCTCCCTAAGACAGACTACTTCAACTTACTGGAAAGGCAGAGTAAGAAAAATGCATCCCTTCATGAGCCTGCTTGTGACGACAGGGGTTCTTTACCAGCCAGAGAAATAATAGGAATCGCAGTCAGTACATTCTGTAGAAAACATTAACCCGCCACACCTTTTAAAAGTTCCACCCCGTTCCAAAGTTAGTGTCATCCTCTTTGCGGGAGCTTCGTTGATCAATGCATGACTTGCACGTATATCTAATAGGTTTGGAGGGTAATAAAAACCGGCTTTCTGCCCGACAAACAAACCTGGAGGTTAGGGCTGACAATACTTAGTCACCCGCCAGAGAGGAGAACAAGCTACGCATTCAGGAGTTATAGTTTTCTATAGCAGAAGGGTAAGATGTCTTAGCCCAAGAACACAACACAATTACCCCTGGAGTCCAGCGCCCTAACATGAGGTCACCGCGCCCCCCAAGTTATTGCAGTCGATGGGAAGTATTTGTTTACACAAGAAAGTTGTCAATTGCTGGTCATTAGCAAGATACCCTCCTTAACCTGTGTTTTCCTCCCTGGGGGGTTGGCTACTCCCTTATATGGGCTATATAGGTATGTGCGGCCCCAGAGGGTATGGTTTTTAACCCTTTTGGGTAGAAATAGGGTATCGATATTGGTCATTTTGTTCTCAAATTGAGTATGGTTTTTGCACTCTAGTTTTGAATTGGGTATGTTTTTTTAGAAGCTATCTTACCTTATAAAAGCATATAAACATTTCCTTTAACATTGGTCTGAAAGGGAACTAATGCTTCATACATCGCAAACAAAGAATTAACTTTCCCGCTTTCTGCATACATCCCGACTGCTTTTTAAGATTATCCAAAATTTTCAGACTCTATGTAGAGGTTTCCTCTAGCGCGTATTCGGACATGCCGACAATCGCACTTAGGGCACAAGATCCCCACACAATCACACTTTGTGCAATTATATGGCATTACTTTCCCCTTTTCACCAGTGTAGTTGTGTGGTTTATTTATGTACTTGGAAGTATTGCTGTAGTCCCTGAATGGGATGTGAATAAACACAAGCTTTAATTAATCCTCCCACCCCTACAACACAACCGCCTTCTCCTAGAATATCATTTTGTCAGATTACACCGACATCCTCCTGTACCAATTCATATACATTAAATTTGGGAGAGACACTGTGAACGTAATTTCGTGCCCAAGATCTTGCCCAAGAACCTATAAACTACAGAAACACCGTTCTACCCATGTGTCGTAAAACCACGTGACAAGTTAAATTTATTTTCATTTCTTAATTAATTTACGAGTCAAATATATCCACTAACTATAAGGCTAAACGTAAATTGAAAAGAAACAAGGATTTGTTATTTGTTTGTTGTTCAACTTTGTTCCCAGGGCTTTTCCCTAAGAAATTCGAAAAAGCCCTGGGAACGAGGTTAGTAGTTGGCCTCTCCACAACGGACACTCTGAGGTGGCATAAACTGGGGTGGCAGCAGTAGGGAGGTTTCGATGACAGTACAATGTATGAAGGAGCATACGGCCGAACGAAATATCCCGGTCGTTGAGTATGGTGTAGAGGCAGCCCTCAGTAGAGCTTCGACCGTAATTTCTTTGACGTTGACGCCCTAAAGAACCTGCAAACCCGTTCGGATTAGGTACAGTGTCAGAGGGAACACTGGAATCGATCATCATGTATGGGATGTAGGACTCGAAAAAAGTCGTTAATTCCAGTTTTCCATACGGAGAAGTAGCTCTCAAATTTTGCTTGTGCTGGGCAAGTCTTAATTTGATGCTAAGATCCCTTGCCCATTGGGTAAGTGAGAATGAAAAGTTACTTGCACGGCAAGAAAATCTACTTGTCCTGGACGACGACACTTTTGGCGAGTCCTGGGATGGTGACATCGATATTCAGCTCATTATGGCTCCTTGCTTTGTTTCGGTGGTAGCCTTGTGACACGTCCTTTTGGAGCGTCCACTCTAGTCATGACCAAGAATCAGTTTCCAAGACCGAGTCACTTTTCTATATTTTAATAAGTGTTTTAAGCCGGCCTAGCGTGAGTAATTTTTAAAAATGTTCCGACATCATGAGTACCACTAATGAGGACCATCCAGTGAATGGATGCGATCCTTTGCCGTGTCCAGCATCGTCATCATACTGTTCCCAAATGAACCCTGACCTCTGATACTCGCTAAAGATGTTCTTGATTAAATTTTGCCGTAGATCTGTGTAAATCGCTTGAGCTGTGCTTTGGTAAGGCCCCGGAGCACTGGCGTAGTGGTTCAGCGCTCTGACAGCCAGGAAGTTAATGTTGATCCACACGGCCCCTCTCCAGTAAGGAGCGTCGTGTTCTGTGTTATACTTCTCGTAGATCGGATCAATCTTGGCCAAAGACCGCAAACCGAACTCGCTCCATAGCTTTTCGCGGTCTTTTAAATCCTTGAGGACTTTTTCGAGTTTCGGCGAGGCGGGATCCAGGATCTGCAGCAGGAATGGAAACAAGCTGACGTAACCGACCGCGTTGACGTACTTGAGAGAAGGGCCCTGCTTAGAGGTTACAATGCGAACCGTCTTCTTTGGTGCGCCCGGTTGAGCTGGCTGGACTACTCGCTGAACAAGCTTCACAAACTTGGTATGATTCCCATAATCGCTGTACGACTCTGCCTTGGAAGACCAATGATACTTGTCCAGGAGTGCGTTGTCTGACAAATAGAGATTGGTGGATCTGTACAAGACAGCATCCGACGTTTGATCCACTGCTTCAGCAATGTCGGCCATCAGCCCAGCAGCGAATGCCATCCAGCATCGCAGATCAACATGCCTCTCATCATCTGACGGGTGTGACGCCCGGGGGTAGTCATCCAGTCCGGAAGTCAGCGTCTTAGGGTTCAGCTCTGTGTCAGTCTTCGCATCCCTTCCGTGCCATCTGTACGTTGACGGCAGGTTTCCTAGTTGTGTGGTGTTAAACCAGTTGAACCAAGCCTTCAGTCGAGGAAAGATCTTTCGTAGATACCCTTCATCCAAGACGCCTTTATCCACCATCGACTTGATTGGAAGGATCAAAGTTGGCGGGTTAGCGTTTTCGTTGTGTTGCACAACAAAATCCGCAGGTACTTTCGTCCGAGCTTCATCGCCAAGAATCTGTTCTCTTGGAATCCAACCTTCGATGTTGATCAAATCCAACCAATGACCAATGATATCCTTGCTGATATTAGTGTCCCACTGGCTGATGAGTAGTTGATGGAAGCCTTCATCCCAGAGGAACCCACGTGGAAAGAACGGTCGCGAAGGAACCGCAGTGTACAACGCGCTATCCCAGTAATCTGTTGGTTCCTTGAAGTAACGAGAAACTACTCTCGAGCTGCCATAGAAATAGCCAATACCTCCAACCATGTTACTCAGCGCTGCCTGCGCGAACTGGACCTCGTCATTGCTAAACCCTTTCGCCTTCAACGTAAACCTCTCTTCAAACTTTCTTTCAAACTCAGAGCTGTATTTGTCTCTAAGATTCAAGAACGACGGCCCCAACAGCCTTTCTCCTCTGGTTATAAAACTTCCAGACTCGAATGCGACCTCCACGTCAAATGGAAGCTCCAGGGTCCATTGCTGGACAAAGAAGTTTACCGGTAACTCTCGCCCCTCCTGGTCACGCTGCGTCACGTGGCCAGCCAAGGCAAGCAGCTGCACGTTTTTGTTACCCTTGAGTTTTGCCATGCGCATGTTCTGCATGACGATATCCTTGACAGAGTGCACGTGCGGTGTGTGAGCAGCCAGGAAAGAGGAAAACACGACTTTGGGAGGTCGCGGGAAGTGTAGCGCGAATGAACCAAGCTCTGGCGAGTTCCCTTGCAGTGCAGTGAGCGTGTTCTTTTGAATGACGGGCTGCAGTTGAGAGTCTCCTTCATGAGTAGCATAAAACAGCAAGGATACCACTTGCTTGGGGTTGCCCTGCAAAATAGATACCACGTCAAACAATAGGGAAGATACATGTATCCGTAATCAATCATTGTTTTCTAACAACTGAACAAAATATTTCTCTGTTTTACCAGCCTATGGCTTCCTATGAACAGCGAAAAACTACGTTTCCATACAGGTACATGACGTAATTTCATACCCATCCTTGAATGGCGTAGACTCAGCTGGCTATTGCTACATGTACATAACTTGACAAAGTATCAAGTGAAACTGATGTTGTTACTCATAATAAAACTTTTTTTCTACAAACATAGTTTCCCGCTTTTGACTTAAGCAGTGTCTGCTCTCTATTCGAGCCAAGAATGTGATTGAGATTCATACTATAAAACCATGGTCTTCACTTCTGTCCAAAAATGCACCTGGTAACGAAATTGGCAGATTTGATGAACTTTCTTCAAACTGAATGAATGCTCAAGGATTTGATGATTTTGGCAAATCTTTGTCAAATTTGTCTTAAGTAAAATCAGCTTGGCAAAATTGACAGTTTTGGTGACTTTTCACCAATCAGAATTGTGCAAAATAATTATCTCATTAGAGATGGTCTCAACATGCTGATGGATTTGGCGATTTTGGCGACTTTTTGCCAGGCAGACTATGCAAATTATCCCATCAGATACAGTCCTAACATGTTAACGAATTTGAATTGAATTTGATTTGAATTTTGTCAGTATAAAAATTATGTTTCCCTGGTTATCAATGGATGTTGCCCGAGCCCAGTGCAAAAAGGAGAGAAGTATGAATTCCCCTCCTTGTAAAAGCCCCAAGTGAAACAGAAAGCAATGCACATTTCTCTGGGACCATTTGAATGAAAGCCTACAACCTGTACTTTCATACACATGTACATGGTGCTTTATTTTTCAAGATTTTACAAAATGACATTTAATTTGGAGTTTCTTTCAAGATTGAACTTGGACAACCTTTCAGAGATTGATATGAAGTTAGACCACCAACCATTTCCTTTCCAGAGATCCTTGCGGTCCAGTCTCCTCCGTGATCTCCACCCAATTTCTTTACAAAATCTGTTGTCAATACAAAATCCTTGTCAACTATCTCTTGTGAGCCAAAATTAGTACCATCATGTTTAAGCCAGCCATATTTACGAAGCCCATCAGATTGTTCACAGGTGTGGCGAATGGCTAGTTGACCATTAGGTGCATATTGAGGGAACCACATGAGACCTGTCATGAGGGACTTAGGGCTCCTTGTTCTGCAAGGACAAAGCAACAGTGCAAGCTATGTTAGTACAATCAAATCTCTGATGATTGACACCCATCATAAGCAGGCATCTCTACAAAGTGCACTCTTTGTTGTTGTCACAGACTTGTGGTCACTCATGATAACTGTACTGTTTAACCCAACGTAAGCAATGACCTCCCATAAGGTGCCACTGGTTGTGTTTCCATGGATGCCTACTCAGAGATAATTGATTATTGGAAAATTGAACCCACTAGTCATTCCAAGAATATGGCTAATAGGTTTAATGTTCAGAAAAATCAATTTAATGTTGATTTTAGAAATGACTAGCGAGTTCAATATTCAAATAATCAATTCATTATTGCATTCTTGAAAAACCAAGTGGGTTCAATATTCAAACAATCAATTCACTAATGTCATCTTGAGGGGTACGCTTCACTTGGTTTGACTGTTAAAGGTTCACCAACACACTCCTCAGAGAAACTCCCCTGTATTGGTTTAAGGTTGTGTCCTACTGTTCAGGCTGTGGGGGTTTCAAGTCATTTTGTCAATATAATAGAGATCTCCACCACTGGCAAGAAAACGTCTTTCCAAAAAAGGTCATCACCATTGTTAGCAAAGCCTTGCTATCAAGGATGATTATGCTCATGGGTTAGGCTCAAAAATTATTTTAAAAGTTATGTTTGTTATTACTAAGTTGCAAATACAAACTCCTGGCTGATTGCTGTATACAGTAGCTACCTGCTTTATATCATCAATAGATAATTACGTAAAAGTGCCCTAAAATCTAGACGACTTTCTGTAAAATTTTGCTTACAACAATAAGTTGTGAAATCATGGTAATAGGGAAATACTATTGGACATCTTATGTCTTATGACTCTCATGCGAAGTCATTGCTCAATTTCCCTGCAAGATCCCTGGTCAATCTCCTCTGTCTAGATTTATAAATATCTGCACAATTTTAGTTTTGAACCGTGAGGTAAAATCTGCATTGACAGTAGTTCCAAATAAACCCGCATTAAATTTGTATTTGACACTGGATTTACTGATCCCTAAAACACCTGCAACACTATAGGTAGAGTTGTTATTGATCAAAACTGCAACTGTCAATTAAGACACTGAAGATGGATGGGGAAGAGCAGTAACACAGTACAGTAATCTATTATTCTTTATTTCTGGGAAGTACTGTAAGTTAAAACTTATATCCCCCTTTATTTACTCAAGAAAATAAACTTTATGCCTGTAAAGATCTGTAGCTTTCAGGAACGTTTATTAAAATAAGTTGAAACTGACCGAGTTAGTTTAACCTTACCTTAGACCAAAATACAAATTTGAACGATAAGTCCCCCAGAATCGGCTCATATCCATTTCAGTCTTGTTTATAACTAACGGTGCATTAAGTGGCGTGTAAAGACGTGCAGATAATCTGTAATTCCAGAGTTTATATGCTCCGAGTAAACACAATGGAACTCCAAGCACAGCTGCCACCATCAGAAATGGTTTGAAAGAAGATTCCTTTCCTCGACGGCGAGGGAATTTAGTTCTATCTCCGTGATCTTTTGAAGAATCCAAACTATGTTTCCCTCTCCTTTGTCGGGCCATCTTCGAAACTATATATGAACAAAGAAATAAAAGGAGTTTTAGACCGATACGAAAGTTGCTAACGATCATCCGCCATATTGCCACGATGTGACCGCGTAAAGGATGTCAGCTGGAGAGAACTGGGCACCAACATTAAGAGTTGTTGCGATGACTCGCGCGTTTTACACGCGCGCACTCTCGCGGGAACTATTTCAGGCTCATTTGTGATGGACTCTCAAAGAAAATCATTTTTCCAAACGTCAAGAAACACAGTCTTATTAATGGCCCGATTTATACTGGAGACGAAGTTTACGTAGACTTACAAGTCTGGCAATCATCGTACCTAATATAATACCCCCCGACCATGCGAGACACAAAACGGTTACGTTTTGATTAGAAGTAGCCCTTATCACGATTTGGTTGAAAGCCGTCTCCACAAACTTTCACTCGGTTTAAAAGTACGCGCCACCGCGCGCAAAAAAGAGACAAATGTATGGAAAATTAAAAACGCGACTGGGTTCTTTCTAGCACAGCTACATCCCTCAAATTTGGTGCAATGCTTTGTTTAGTATCTTGCCGGACTTTCCTATTCATAAATAAAATTGTTCAGAGTTCGAAGAAAATTATTTGCTATCGGATTCCTAGCCTGTGTACA